CACAGATGGTGGCGGGGACCGGATCCCCCCCCTCCCTTCCAATGGCACCGACCCCACCGGGCAGAATGGGAGGGGAGGGGCCACCGGGGAGGCTCAGCCCCCCGGTACCGGTGCAGCCTTTCCCGCAGCAAAGGGATGGGGACGGTGTGGCCACCACCGGCCCAGGGACCCGGCCACGGCCAGGGCCGGGTGAGGAGCCGGTGCCATCTCTCTGGCCGGTGGCGGGGAGGGGTTAACGGCTACAAAAACTGGGGGTTTGGTCCTAAACCGGGGCAGGGGGAAGGTGTCGGTGGCGGCGGGAGGGCGGCTCAGCCGTCGTTGGCGGCCACCAGCTGTCCCATGCCCTCCCGGACATAAACCGACTGGATCTCCTTGGTCTTGAGGCAGAAGTCGCAGGCCCAGACGGCGGAGGCCTCGGTGGTGAGCAGCCCGTAGGCGTTCTCCGTCATCCCGGTGCATTCCCGGTGGAACCACTTCTGGCAGGAGGCCTCGCACAGGATGGCGTCCTGGTCGTCGTTCACCTCGTTGCGGCAAGCTCCGCAGGGGTACACTAGCCCTGGGGGGGGCTGGTGGCCTGATCCGCCGGCCGCCTTGCCGGGAGGAGGCGGGGGGAGGTTGTTGGTTTCGGGCGTGCCAGGGGCACGGCCGGCGCCGCCGGGGGCAAAGGGGGGCTGCGCCCCGTTGACGGCAGCGGGGGGGGAGCCCGAATGCGGCTCCGGGGAAAAGGTGCTGGGGGGAGGGTTGGGGGGTTTGCCCCCCTCCTCGCCGCTGGTGGGGAAGCCGGGATCGCCCCCGGGGAAGGGGCTGGCGGTGGGGGGCAGGGGGGGCACGTTCTGCCCGGGGCGCTGCAGGGGCGACTGTCCAAAGAGGTTGCCGGGTTGACCGAAACGCTGAGCCACCGCCGGCCCCCCAGGGGGGTTGAGGGCAGGCCCGGGGCCCATGTCACCCCCCCGGGGGGGCTGTCCCATGGTGGGGGAGATCATGGGCCCGAAGCCCCCCACGGGCCCCTGCATGAGCTGCCCGGCGGGGGGGCTGAAGTTCTGTCCAAGGGGCTGCCCGAAGGGCTGGCCGGGGAAGCTCATGCCCCCGGGCTGGACGTACCCGGGGTTCTGGGGGGGCATACCGAACGCCGGCCCCATCTGCCCGGGGGTGAAAGGAGGGGGTGGCTGCCTCCGCAGGGGCTGGGGACCCCCGCCGTAGCCGGGGGGCACCTGCGGCGACATCCCCCCTTGGACGCGGAAGCCGCCGAAGGGAACGGGGCTGCCCAGGAAAGCGGCGGGAGCCGCCCCGGTTTTGGGGGCTCCGAAATCATCCTCGAAGGGGTTGGAAGCCACCAGGTGGTCAACCATAGGGGTGGGCGGTGGGGCGAATTCCGAGAGGTGCGAGTAGGCCGGGCCCTGCGAGGTGAGGAAGGGAGGAGAGAGAGTGATCAGCGCGGCGGCTGGAAGCCCCGGTCCCGGTCCCGCCCCCCCCGCAGCCCCCGCTCCTACCTGTGTGTTAGATTTACGCCGTTTCTTCTCGGGGCTCTTCATCTGCAGCCCTGCAGGGACAACCGGGACCGCGTCAACCGGGGCCTAGCCCCATTTACCGCCTCCCCCCCCCCGGGCCACCCTCACTCACCTGCCTTCCCCTGCTTCCGGCCCGGCCCGCCGCCGGCGGCGCTGCCCGCGGGATGCGGGGGTCCCGGAGGGGGCGGCGGGGCCGGGACGCCTCCTCCTCCACCTCCGCTTCCACCTCCTCCGCCTCCTCCCTCCAGCTTCTCGGCGTGTGGGGCAGCCATGGCCT